CCAATGCCAGATAGTTCCAAGTCGAAATTTAATTTTTAACTTTCTTCATTCCAAAATACATGGAACCCTCCGTTTAGTTTATTTTTTTTTTGTTCTGGTGTATTCAAGTGCTTTCCTTGCATAACTTCTGTTTCCTGTCCCCATGTGAAGTGTGCAAACATTTTTTATGTTGGTCTTTCTTTTTCATTTCTTTGATTTGCCGAACATAACATGAATTTTTTTGTTTCGATTTGGTTCTTGGATTTCTTGCAAATGTAGGATGGTATTACTACTGGCCTCAGCACTTTATTAGATTTTAGTTTTGTATATGGTGTGGTATTTTGGGTTCTACTCTTTGGTTCTTCTTCTTTTGCTCCCTGTATATGAGAAGTGATTATGATTTTTTTCGAAGCAAAAAAAAAAAAAAAACATGGATTACTTGCATGGCATATGCAAAAGTTTGCATACGATTATCATTATAAAGCTCTTCAATGTAAACGTAGCATAAATAATATAAAAAAACTCATAAGGAGTTTTGTTTTTATAAGTATCCCATAAAATTGTCTTGATCTAAAAAAGTTTGTAATCAATTGGATGGGTGGCTGGGTAGCTTAAACGCATGACTATAAAAGTGGGGTACACACTATGAATCAAATGTATTATTTTTGCAAATTGCAAACAATTTTAAACATTCAAAAATTATAATTAAAATATAAGACAAAATTTAAAGTTTTCCTAAAGCTTGGCTACGTTTACATGTAGGGATTTAATAAACCGTCTGGTTTAAATTGAACACATGTCAATAAATGAGGTGTTTTCATAAAAATATCAGACCAATTCCATTTAAAAGAGCTTTTAATGCATATGTCACCATAGCAAGGTTACTAAAGGGTTAATTATTGCTAAATATTATGCCCGCCAGAAAACGTCTTTATTTTTAAAAACAAGAAGTACCTTTCGTTTTTGTGACAATAACATAAGTTTAATTTTGGTTTTGTAAAACTGCAAAGTTTTAGAAATTTTTGGTAAGTAATTTTTATATTTTTACATCGTTTTTGTTTCCGTGAAAGAGAAAAAACATGCAAATCGGCAGAAAATTTATAAATTCTTATTATTTGTAATTTAAAAAAAAATCAAAATTTTGGTTTTAATTTCATTAAGATATAGTACGCTGCTGTTTATATTTTTGTGATATGTAAGAAATTATTTTTGTTTAATGTTGTGGTGTTGTTTTTACACACACTCACACACATTTATTATAAGTTTTTTGGTAAGTAAAATCAATGACATTAGTTTACATGTAATTCAATTGCTTGGCTAATCGTGAAATTTTAATTGAAACCAAGAAAAAAAATGTCTACAAAATGAAGAGAGGTCACTGGTTGATTTGATGTGTGGCCAGATCACTTTAATACAGGGAAAGTAAATATGAAAAGTCAACTCATTTTTGACTTGACATTTTGTGAAAGTGATCTGGCGATACATCAAATTAACTTGCCTATTTTTATTAGAGGACGTTTATTTAATTAACATTGGCTCTTGTCGTGAAAAGTTGAAAAATAATGTAAGCTAATGTAGTTTATATATAATTTTTATCATTTTCTTTTAACAACCCTTTCATGTATTTATAAAAAAAAAACGTAAACTGTCGATCACAACAATTTCATATTTGAAAACAAAAACGCTCGTGCAGTTTTATAATTGATATATTCTTCTTTTTTTCTTTCAGTGTACTATAATTACTTAAGTTCCGTTAAACAGATACTAATCTTGTGTTTATTTATTTGTAAGCCAGAAAAAAAAAAAACAATTTAAAAAGGGAATAGCTATTAATCTAGGACGAATTGTTTTATTTGTATATTTTATTCTTACAAAGCTACATGGCGACACATCAAATTTGGAAACTAAAAAAAAACATTTGTTTTGAAGGAGAAACTAATACCTTGTTTATATGGTATAGATTTTCAGAGGTGAAATGCCAGACAGTAAAAAGTTTTAATTTCATAAAACTTTTGTAAAGAAAATACAAGATTTAATATTTTCATAGAAAAAGAATCCAGGACCAGAAATAAACAACTTTTTGTTCGAGTTACTGCTTGACTTGATTAATGACTTGATTAATCATCGGTTTGACATGACTTGATTAATCATCGGTTTGACATAACCTTTTTTCTCGAATTCCCTTTTCTAATGTTAATGGTTTGGAGCAATGAACATGATAGAAGAATACAGGCAGTCGCATCGACACAGCTCCTGGGACAATGAACTGTCAAATCGATTTTGGAATTGAAAATGTTGAATGAAAAATTATTGAAATTTGTAAAAATTGTTGAAAAATTCAGGTTATAACAACCACCGATTTGCGTCGTATAAGAAAACATTTAAAAATATACTTTTTTGATAAATAATTTAAAATTTTTGACATATCAACGTTCCCAAGCGTTGATGCATCTAGCTATATTCTTCTACCATGGCAATGAATGTTTGCTGGGTGAGTGATAGGAAAAAAATGACCTTGTTGCAATAGTAGAAGAGTACAGGTAGATGTATCAACGCATGGGAACATTGATATGTCAAAAAATTATATGTCTTTTCAAACAGAAGTAGATTTTTATATGTTTTCTTATACGACATCATTCGGAGATAATATCCGTTTTTCAACAATTTTTGCAAATTTAAATAATTTTTCTTTCAACATTTTCAATTCCAAAATTGGTTTGACAGTTCATTGTCCCAGCAGCTGTGTCGATGCGTCTACCTATATTCTTCTACCATGATTGTTACTCTATCTTAGATTTCTCTCCCACATGTAAACACTGTATTTTTTCAAATTTTTGTTATTATAATCGGTTTGATATGTCGCCAGTCAGCTTTATGCGATTCAAAAAATTACTTGTGAAAATATTTATTTATTTTTTTAATTATTAAAAGCAAAAAAACTATTGTACATTTTGAACATTTTTGGCTAAAATCTGTTTGATTTGTAAAGTATATATTTAAAAAAATGAAACACTAGAAAATTTTCAGTTTTATAATTTTTTTCCAATTAAGAAAAAAATGAATTAAAAACAAAAAACATTTGTTCAGCACACCATTCCGATACGATAGACTAGAATCATAATTAAATCGAATCTTCATTTTCTTTAATTAATTTTTTTTTTATAAAACTTTTTGTTTTATATGAAGATTTATGATATGTTTTGTTGAGTTTTTTTTATTTAAATTGTTTTAGGTTATGTTTACACTAAAGCCATTTGAATTCGCTTTTGTAAAATCTATTTTACGTGGCTTATTGGAAAATATAAGAAAAATAATATAACATGAAAAAAAGCTACAATGTAAACATAGTATCATTATTAAAAGATAGTCTAAGAACACGTTAAGACTTCAAAATCCACTCGATGTCAAATGTCATGCATGGGTGAGCAGATTAAAGTGAATTTAGAAATGTCAAATGTCGATTTCATAACTTCGATTCCATCATTTTCACATTTTCTTTAAATTTTATTGAATGAAAGTAAAAAAACGCGTATTATAATAACCTCCGAATGACGTCGTATAGGAAAACATATAAAGATCTACTTATATTTGAAAAGACATTTAAAATTTTTTGACATATCAATGCTCCCAATCGTTGATGCATCTACCTGTATTCTTCTGCCATGATGTAGACGCATCGACACAGCTGCTGGGAAAATAAACTGTCAAACCAATTTTGAAATTGAAAATATTGAATGAAAAGTTATTTCAATGCGTAAAAATTGTTGAAAAACGCGTATTATAATAACCTCCGAATGACGTCGTATAAGAAACCATATAAAAAATTACTTATATTTTAAAAAAAAAAATTCTTTAACATTTTTGACATATCAATGTTCCAAAAAGTTCATGCATCTACCTGTATTGTTCTATTATGATATTAAAGAGCCAAGTGTGACCATGATAGAAAGCCTAAAGGTGGGAATACATAAAGCGCTTATTTGGTTGGCTTAAGTTATAGACTGGCTTCTTCGGAAATGATCAATGGAGTCTAGGGCCAAAATCGAACTAAGATAACCTAAAACTCCTTTGTTCTTCTACGAAAAAGCCAGCCGATGACTTAATCCATCCAAATAAGCGCTTTATGTATTTCCACCCTTACTTCTAAACTCTTACGGATTGAATTGAATTAAATTACAATGATGACTGGAGTGTAAACATGGCTGGATCATATTAATTACACTTTTGTTTATTGTATTATTTTATTATTATTATCTGTAAATTATTAGTTAATTGATTATTACTTACTATTTTAATTGTTTGTTGTTGTTGTTTAATTGTAATTTTTTTGTAACCTATTTATATTTTTCACTAATTTTTTTTTTTTTGTTAAATTTTAAGATTTTTTTTACTATTTTTCTTCATTCTACTTTTTTTCGGTGCTGTTACTAATTTATATATTCTTTTAGTTTTTAATATTTATTTTAATATTTTTTTAATTTAATTTCAATATTTTTTTCTCTTTTAATAAATATTTTATTTTGTTATTAATTTAAATCTCATTTATAATTAACTCATCTTTTTGATTTTTTTCTTTTTTTTTCAGTGTCTCAAAGTCTTTGGTTTCCACAATCTGCATTTATATTATAAACTTATTTATTATTATTTTTATTAATATCCCGAATGTAAATTATTGTTTATTATTTTTATGTTTTTTTTATTAAATATTTTTCTTGACAACCTTCCATTTAATCTATCTTGTTTTGTGTAATTGTTTATTCCTTTCTTTTCACAAAAAATAACTATTGCTTAGCAGAAACAACAATTTAAATAAATAAAAACAATTAACAATTTGAGATGATTAAATAAAAATGACAACAACAACACTTTATAAGACTGAAAACTCCAAGTAATCAAAGATCTAAATGGCTAAGTCATTACAAAAACGGCTGTGATATTTATGAAATTAATATTTTATACATTATTATATAAAGTTTTATTACATTTAAATAAATAAAAACAACAATAAAAAAACAACTTACCAATTTGGTGATATATCATCCAAATGGGCATGTTTCCAAAAGTCTCTTAATTCTTCCAGCAAAAATGATACCGGCATACCGTGAATGTTGCCCGAATTGCTGGTGGAATGCAGATTAATATCGGCATGGGCATCTACCCAGACCAAGGATAGATTTGGACTATGCATTAAATGGCCGGCCACTGAACCTAAAGACACCCACACACACACAAAATATTTTAAAATATTAAGCAAATCTCCCGAAAAAGAAGAAGTAAGTATACTTACCAAAACCAATGGCATGATCACCGCCCAGACACAAGAACTGATCTTGTTGCTTGAGTATTTCGGGGATTTTGGCAATCAGGGATTTATTGCAGCTCATAAATGTATTGTAATTTTTCATGTTTTTATAGTGTGGCGGTGTGTTTTGATCATCGATCAATTCGTAGCTTAAGTTGCCATAATCGGTAATCGATAAATTTCCTAAATAAATAAAATAAAGAAATTAAATTGTTGTCTTTCTTTGAAAATCCTTCACTTCTCTGGTAAGTATAACAAACACCAACCTCTTGAGGACTCCAGCAGCATGGATACCAAACCATTTTGCCTTAGAAAGTCGGGTGCCTGTTCCACGCCACCCTTGCTTTGGCCCTTACTAAAGGGTACACCCAAAATACCCAGTTTTGTTTTTGTCCCTGCCGAAGATGAAAACTGGCGAAATATTGTTTTCAACATTTTGTTCAGAAGTTCTCCTCCAACGTCTTTAGTTTTGTAATGCTCTTTGACAACTAAAACCAAGCCAATCAATAATCCAGAAAAAACGCGGTCCAGCCTCCGCTTTATGGTTGCAACTGATAACACAGACAACAATCATGTTTCTGTCATATTTTATATTTTGTTGTACGATGTCCGATAACCTTTGGGAAGGCAAAGGCAAATCTCAAGCTTTCTTTTTACAGAGATTTCAGGCAAAAATATTTTTCTTACGAGGGGGTATTCTTTATTATCAATGAATTTTATAAACCATTTGAAAACAAACTGATACGTCATAGTTTTTTTTTTTTTTTGTTTTTGTAGTAATAAATACATTTACTTTGTAAATAATCAGTCAGAAAGGGGTTTTGAGCAATGTGATTCATTTAAGAAGACAAAATCATGGAAGATCTGTAATACCAAAATATGGGCAAATAGTGGTAAAGCGCAAAATAAATAGTTAAGCTTCAAAGGCAATAAAAAAACTTAAATCGGCAATTTACAGGGTGTGATAAAAACTGCAACAAAGTCAAACGCCATAAATCTCACTTTTTTTTAAATTTATTGACTGAAAGCAAAAAATGTTGGAAATAGCATCAAATCTTAGAAAAAGTTTAAATTTGTTCGAATTGGTCACCTTTGGCACGAATTAAGGCCTTCAAACGGCCAATGAAACCGACACATGCTGCCCGAATGTTTCTCTGCGGTATTTTGGCCCATTCACGGCGAAGCGCTTGCTTGAGGTGATCGACACTTTGGTATTTTTTAGGGCCAACCTTGCTTTTCCAAAATACTCCGGATTAGTATCCGGAGATTTTGGTGGCCATTATGCACTGGAAATGAAGCGAGGAACCGCATTTGGTAACCATTCTTGGATGTTGTGTGCAGAGTGCAATGATGCTGAGTCCTGTTGGAATGTCCTCTTGGTCTGCGGCCAAAATGTTTGCTTGCCCAAGGCTTTAATACACCCTCCAGAATATTTTCGCGATAATATTTGGCATTTATTCTGATGCCACGGTCAATTAATAAGAGCGGAGAGCGACCATTGGCTGTTATGGCGGCCCACACCACCATCACCATGGCCGGCGCTTGAATTCTGGTGGCCAACCGAAACAAACTGCTGGACAACGAATGTTTTCTCATCGGCACCGGAGAAAACCAAATTCAGCAGTTCGCCACTTTCGGCCAAGCGATGCAACTCTTTAGCTCTTTTCAGTCTATTTTCTTTCCGTTGCTGTGTAAGTTCTTGGCATTACCTCGAGCTCATTTTTCAAAATTTGCCGAATGGAATATTGCGATATGTTCAGCTCACGAGCATTTTTTCGGCCACTACGACGCGGCCGTCGATCAAGTCGCTTCTTTACATTTCGAACCATTTCTGCTGATGTTGCTGGTTTCTTCCGTCCACTACCTTGACTTCGCCGGGCTACGCTACCTGTATCACAATAATGAGCAATGGTACGAGACACAAAAGATTTATTCACATTTAAATGCTGGAGAGCTCTAACGATAGCCACTTGTGGTTTTCCAGCCAAATAAAGAAATCACTTTGATCCATTATTCCATCACGAATAACTTTTTTTTTTCTGGAAAATTCTCACCAAAATGCTTTTGTTGTAAGCTTGTAAACAATATAATGAACTGTCACTGGAATAATTTTAACAATTGTCGGATGAGTGGCTTAGAGATGACAGCAGTCTGAAGTTGGTTGCAGTTTTTTCATCTCACCCTGTATATTTCCTTCTACCACCTAAGAACATGAAGTGGTGATAATTTAATGGAAATATGGCTAAGAAAATATCAGGAAATAAATTGTACTTCTAATAAAATCTAAATTTATATAAGGATATTGTTCCCCGGGAAGGCTTTTTGCCGAATAAGAAATCGAATTGTTGAATTACAGGCGATTTGATTGCGAGGGATGAACTTTCAGCCTACAAGTATAAAAAAGTTTAGGTTATATGGGTAGGTACATATTTTAAATTCATTTTAATTCAACTGCTCCACAGGGCCAAAAAAATTATAAAAGATTTTTTATTAAAAGACAATTTTTTAATTTACTTTTTTATTTTTTATTAATTTAAATTTTTAAATTTTAAATTTACATTTCTATTTTTTTATAAATTTAAATTTTTACATTTACATTTCTATTTATTTTATATATGTATATTGCACTAAAATGTTGCTTTTGTTTTTTTATAATATTTTAATTTCTTGCATCATCTGATTTTGTTAGCGTTTGCTGCTCAGCCGCTTCTTTTTCTTTGCGATAATGTTCCCATTCATGATTTCTTAAATCCGCTTGATATTTAAAAGCCATAGGGCATTGGCTACACATATAGGTATTTTCGCCAACATGTGTGCGTAAATGTTTATTCAAATCATTGCTTTGGGCATAGGCTTTGTCGCAATATTTGCCTGAAAAAAAAGAAAAAAAAAAAACGTAAAATAAATAGATTCAGGGGAAAATTTTAGCAATCTATGATAGAAAATTTTTAACAAATGTAATCAGCAGTGGCTGGATTCTTGTTTTATGAAAATGTGAAACGAAAATACAACATTTTTTGCCTTCATAAAAGTTTTCATTTCAAATGATCATGGAATGAGAATTTAACCACAGCTGTGGATTATGGGCCTCATAACAGATTGAAAAATATATATTACAATTAACACACTAGGTTAGGTTAGGTTAGGTTAAAGGATACGCGGTTGTATAAACAACCACTTCACTCGAAGACCTTTTGGGCCATTGTGTTCATCCTAATTAAGAAGATAGGAGAATAGAATATAGAGAAGAAAAAAAAATGGATATCGAATAGTCAAGAAGTGAGAATCTGAATAAAGAGTAGAGAAGTTAGTAGGTTTGCATCCACGTGTCGAGTATCAACGTGTCGTCCTTAGCCATTTTTGTCTTCTGGCTAACTGAAGAATGACTGCTGGCTCGATGTCGGAGAGGGAGGGCAAATCTGGCAGAATTTGCTTACCCAGTAGCCTCTGTCTCAATCCTAAGGGAGTTAGGCAGTGGCAGAGTAAGTGTCCCACCTTCTTAGTTTCTTCCTCGTCCTGACAAAGCCTGCAGTATTCAGTGTCGTCGCCCACCTCCCCTCATTTGGATGCCAAGGCCTTAATGTTGCAGTGTCCTCCCATAGGGGTGGATTCACTGAGCTCTCAATTTCTAAATCTACTGACTCACATTCGCGTCTGGCCAATTTATCAGCCGATTCATTGCCAGATATGTTGCAGTGCCCAGGGACCCAACAGAGTTTGACAAACGATTTAACTTTTTCCAGAGCATTCCTGCATCCCCGAACTATCATAGATTTGATTGTGAATGAATTTAGAGCCTTCAGGTCCGCTTGACTATCGACATATATAGTCACCGGTCCGTCCACTTCATTGATTCTATTTGCTACCAGCTCTATGGCCTTCCTGGCTGCAAAGATTTCTGCCTGAAAAACGCTACAGTTGCTGTTTAGTTTGAAGGATCATTGGATACTTAGACTTTCACAGTAGACCCCAGCTTCCGTTCCATTTTCCATCTTCAGTATAGACAGCTATACCGTTAAAATGTGAGATCCGCGAACGGTTGGATCTCACATTATAGAAGAGATAGCTCCGATTGCTCGCTTTTTCTTTACAAATGTTTCCAATTGCAAACTATCATAGTTTTTTTTATCATTCATCACTTTGAATACCTACACTTATATGGTTTCTCTCCCGTGTGGGTACGACGATGACGATTGAGATTCATTAAACGTGGGAATCTAAGAAAAAGAAACATAATAAATTTAAAATTACAAAAAAAAAGATCCAAAATTTCTCTTACGCCATTGGACACTGATCACACTTGTAGGGTTTCTCGCCCGAGTGCAGAACCTTGACATGCTGATGTAACGTATCCACTCGAGAAAATCTTGCCCCACATGTTGAGCATACATGATTTTTACCCTGCTGGTGGGACATCAAATGTATGTAACGATCTGAGGGGCATTTAAAACGTTTCGGGCAATGTGGACAGCTATAGGGTTTATCATCACCGTGGCGTTGCATGTGCTGTCTTAAGTTACTGGGCCTATAGAACTTCTTGCCACACAACGTACAAAGATAATTCAAGTCTCCGGTATGTATCCTCATATGTTGTTTCATGGCAAATTTAAAGGAAAATGCTGAAAGGGGAACACTGATTAGAATCGGTATATCGAACACTTTTCCTACACACATTTATCACAAAGTTCACATTGGAAATTTTTAATGCCCATATGGCGATTGGTGTGTATCTTCAAATGTTCCTCAACCACAAAGGTTTTGTTGCATTTGTCACATTTAAAGGGCACTATTTCGCTATGTTTTTTACTCATATGCTGTGCTAGACCTCCCACATTTGTATATGCCGCTGGACAATGATTGCAGGTATATGATTTATTTAGCGGCTCCTTTTTATCTTCCATTAGCCGAGTTTTATTCTTATTTTCATCGGGATGATGTTTTTCGTTGTGTTTTTGCAGCATAAAAGGATATTTGAAGCGATCATGGCACACCATACACACGAAACGATGAGCGTCGGTGTGTTTTTTCATGTGTCGTTCCATTTGTTTTTCAAAACGAAATGTGGCTTTGCACTGTGGACATGGATGGGGTGATCTTGTTTTGTTCTTTTCGACAATAGTATCAGTTTCTTCTTTCTCCGAGGACGTTGGATCCCTGGAAACAAAAGGAAATTAGTTTTATTTTACTTGACCTAACATTTAACAATAAACCTGCTGCTGGAGTCTAATTGGTCTAGATCCAAATCACAATTGTCTAGTGAATTTTCATCCTTAGAGAGCCTGTTGTCGCTTTTATCCATCTCCGACTCCTTGTGCCTATTGCGTTTGTGTTTTTGCAGCATGGTCGCATTGGGAAAATTCTTTAAACATGTATTACATTGATGTGTCATTGCACGCAGGGCTTTTTCAGAGTCACACGTTAAAGATGACACATCCAACTCCTTCTCAACTTGGTTCCTATTTGAATAGAATTTTGTTTTTATCAAATTTCTGAATTAAAGCTATCATCCCGAAATCCTTTACCTTCCAAACGTTTTTATAATGGCCCCCTCAATTTGATTATATTTTTCATTTATAGACTTTTGTAATTTCCTCAAAGAACTCAGTGGTATGTCCTCTTCATCATTGTCACTGTCATTTCCAGATACGTCTTTATCAGCAGCAATTGAAGCTTCCTCTTCACTATCGTTGATGCCCCTAGGAATCTGAAAAAAGCAAATGAGTTACATTTTCACAATTTTACCTCACAACTTACCTCTTTATGAGTATCAGTCTCAATTTTGTTCCCTATATCACTTGCATTTTCCCCAAAGGACACTTCAGATTGCGAAAAGTTCCCCCTCTCACGTAATACTGACGCTGACCACGTTTTATATAGCATATCGTGTGTGGTCAGACATAGCTTTTGGAATTTAAAAGCTTTCAATAACTGATCCATACATGCCTTGCATATTTCCTGAGGCACCGGAAATGACTGCTTTCGTTGTTGTTCTAACAGTTGTGGTGTGGTTTGTAAAAGCATTTCCTCAATGGTCAAATCAGATTCTTCATATCTCGTCGTTTGGGTATTAAACATGTTTTTCTTATTGGACATACACACCCTACAAATCTTGCCATATATTTTATGTGAATGCATAGCAATTTAGTTATTTATTTGCTTAATTTGTGTGGAATCTATTAAAACCACGGAGTTCCGGAAAAGCCGGAAAAGAAATTTACGAATGAGACGAGGAGCAAACCAAAATAAAAAACGTCCCCAACGAAAGAAATAACAAGACAAAACATAAAACCCAATAAAAAATTAAAGCAAAAGGGAGGCTCTGTTGTTTACGAATATGTGTAATGCATAACACCGAGAACATTTGTTGACGAATTAGATATGAGGACAGCGTAATCAGCTGGAAGATTAATAAGGCTCTATCAGACGAAATGTTTTTATGTATCATGGAATTGAAAATGTTGAATAAAAATTATTTAAATTTGTAAAAATTGTTGAAAAACGCGTATTATAATAACCTCCGAATGACGTCGTATGAGAAAACATTTAAAAATCTACTTATATTTGAAAATACATTTAAAATATTTTGACATATCAATGTTCCCCAGCGTTGATGCATCTACCTGTATTTTTCTACAATGTGTTTTAATAACTTTATGCTTAAGGCAGGATAAGTAAAACTCGCCTTCCTAAGATATTTAACATATAACTGTGCTCTTATAAACCCCGTAAATAATCAATTATTTATTATTCTGGTAAAATATGCCACTCGTCGCACGTAAATTTTTTAGATATGAAAATACATTTTATTTGAAATATTACATGGTCGAATTCTTTAGAAAAGTGTTGCCATATTCAATTTAGTTAATGAGTCTACCTTTATTAATTAGTATCTGGTAAAAACCATTCCGTCTGACCAAGACTTTAGATAAATAAGAATTAAATATGTAACGACCGCAACGTACGTCGTGACAGTAACTTTTAATGCAACCAATTAAATTGTACAGGGTGAGATGAAAAAACTGCAACCAACTTCTGACTGCTGCATTTCTGACAGCTGTTAAAATTATTTCAGTGAAAGCTCATTATATTGTTTATAAGCGTACAAAAGGCTTTCAAGCGTGATAGTGTGATTTTTTATATTTGGCTGGAAAACCACAAGTGGTTATCGTTAGAGCACTCCAGCATTTAAATGTGAATAAATCTTTTGTGTCTCGTACCAACGCTCGTTACCGTGATACTGTGTAGCGTAGCCCGGCGTCAAGGAAGTAGACGGAAAAAAACAGCAACATCAGCAGAAATGAGGTGTTTCTGGTTACTTTTCCAGCAAATCAGCTGATTTGTCAAAACAAACCAATTTGTCCCCCATAAGGAGAATTAAAACAAAGGAAGCAATACTAATTTTACAAGTTTTTTAAATAAAAATGTTGGAAATAGTCGTTTATTTTCTTATTGCATATTAACATTTACGTTTTTCACATTTTGTAAAGTTGTTCTCCAAAAACTATTAGTCTTGCTAATTCCAAAAAAATATTTTCAAATTGAAAGCACAAAAAGAAATGAACAAACAATAGAAAACATCTGATTGAATGTCGATGAATGAGAAGAAGAAGAGTTGCAAGTGATTGCAAGAAGAAATTTTTCCAGCAAGAATTTGCAAACTCTCACTGAAAGAACTGTCAAAATTTCTCTCTCCAACCGCTCTCTTTTGCAGAACTTTTGGGTTAACAGACGACTTCCAGTAACAATTTGTAACAATTGTTACAAACTTTAGGGTAACCAGACACACCTATGGTTCGAAAAGCAAAGAAGCGATTTGATCGAAACCCGCGACGCAGTGCCCAAGAAATGGCTCGTGAGCTGAACATATCGCAGTATTCCATTCGGCAAATATTGAAAAATGAACTCGGGAAAAGCCATTGAAATTCCAAAAAATAACTCAAGCGCCGGCCATGGCTATGGTGTGGACCGCCATAAAAGCCGATGGTCGCTTACCGCTCATATGAATCGACCGTGGCATCAGAGTAAATGCCAAATATTATAGCGAAAGTATTCTGGAGGGAGGAGTCGCAGACCTTGGTGGAGGGTATTTAAAGTTCAGCAGGGCCGAAATTACAGCTAACTAATTTTCAAGTCTTTCCTGGAAGTAACTTTACTGAACAATTCAGAGAGCTAATCAGGCTCCATCAAGTTTATTTCTCAAAGAAGAAGAGGTGCTCTTAATACAATTTCATTAATTTTTAGATTAGACTGTGTTATTCGCAGAAAAACTCATTTACAACGCACTTACTTTTATTACAGTTCTCAAATTTCAATGGGTAAATCTGTAAAAAAAAGCCCATTCAAAAAATTCCCCTTTCCTGCTTTTAACATTTGACCTATATTTACAAAATTGTCCATTTAAGCATGTTGTGATTAGTCAGAAGTGATAAGAAAAACATTTTTGCTATAAAAGCAAATCGAATTCAATTAATCCCAGTTATTGTCTAAACTAATCTAAGCTTGAAATAATGAAACTCATTGTGGTATTAGTTGTACTTTTGGTGGTAGCACAGGTAAAAAAAATTATATAATTCAAATTTTTCATTCTAAAACTGGTTACTTTACTGCAGTGCTATGCTCGCTCAATTTATGGAGACTCCTTTGCCATAGAAACTCCCGATTCTGAGGTAAGGTTATAGTTTTACGTATGGTAAAATTAAGAAGGTAAAGTCATTTCAAATACGACTATCCATTACTGCATTTTCTGTGATTTAGCTTGTCAAATTTCACTAAATAAAAAACAGATCCCATCTCCGATTTCTGTGTATACAATGGATTTGTGAATATAAATTTTGATAATGAGTTGCTGTCAAATGAATAAATTTGAAAAAAAAAAATTGTAAACATATGATTGCATGACTTTAGCTTCTTAATTCTACCATGGTTTTATGTTTATGTTTGAAATCTGAAAAATCTTTTCATTCCGCAGCCTTTATTTTCCGTCGAGCCACTACAACAGGACTCATCTTTGGTGGATTCGTTTACGCGTTCCAAACGCGGTGGAGGCACAGTAATAATTATAAAGACAGCTAATAATAAATTGTAGAAAATCAATTTGAATCATTTTATGATGCCAATGTGATATTATTTAATAATAAAAGGAAAATAAAGAAAATAAAAAAGGACAAATAAACTTTAAAATTTAAATAAATAAAGGTGGGAATACATAAAGCGATTAACTGACTGGCTTAAGTCATTGGCTGGCTTCTTCGGAATTAAACAAAGGAGCCTAGGGCCAAAATCGAACTAAGTCAACCTAAAACTCCTTTGTTCATCTACGAAGAAGCCAGCCAAATATGCGCATTTCCACCCTAAGGCTGGAAATACATAAATAGCATATTTGGATGGTTTAAGTCATCGGCTGGCTTCTTCGTAGATGAACAAAGGAGGTTTAGGTTGACTTAGTTCGATTTTGGCCCTAGGCTCCTTTGTTCATTTCCGAAGAAGCCAGCCGATGACTTAAGCCATCCAAATATGCTCTTTATGTATTTCCAGCCTAAGGCTGTATGTACATAAGACGCTTGAAGTCATGGCTAGGCATATTTTGCAACATTTCATAAAGGGATTACAGAGCCGCACTAAAATCATGCCGTCATTTTCCATTATAATTTGACATTAATATGCCCAGCCATGACTTCAAGTTTGTTATGTACTTCCACCTTAATTTACCTAGTCATGACTTCAAATAGTCCATGATACCGGCGATACTAGAGAAACTACAAAATAACGTTTGGCTCATGATTTTTTTTTTGTTTTTTATTTTAAAATCCCTAAGCGCGTTGGGAACTAAAAGGGTGGGAAAAAGGGGAGGGGATAATTGGCGAACTCTCTTTTGGAGAGGTAGGGGGTATATTGCCACACGAAAAAACAGACTTTGTCTGTGTGCCTTCATGTTATATTTGCGATGTTGTTTCTTTTATCAACTTGACCATATCATGCAGGTGTTCCCAGTGATGTTTGGCTATGAAATCTTCGACGGTGAAGATTCCAAATTGGCTCATGATTTGGTTTGGCTTTATTTTCTCTATTGCCTTTTTAGGGACATGGAAATCGACAAATGACCACTGTAGGGTTATACAAATCAATGTTGCATTGCTGCTTTCAACTATTGTGAATGGTTGAAGTTGGTGTTTTGTACAGTACACAACACTTGTAAGTGGCATTAGTAATAACGGTAATTGATTTTTTTTTAAACTTAAGTGACTTAAATTAATATCTAATGCTACGTTCACAAGGATACCACTATCAAAGTAACACCTAAACATTTGTAATAAAACACAAATTGGTTTACATATTTTTTTTTGTTTTTTATTATAAATTTACTATTAAATTGTCTTTATTTTCTTTTTGTTGCACAATAAATAAATTTGTATAATATATTATTTTTTTTTAATTTGTTATATAAAAAAACACTAAATTATTAATTTGTTTTTTTTTTGTCATTTCCTTTCTTAAAAATTTAAAATACAGCTAAAGCTTTTCGTTTATCATGTGTGATGATGATATTGTGTAAATAAAATATTATATATGTAGATATATATTTTATGTTTATATATATTTATGTAAGATTATATAGAGTTTGTATAAAATTAAATTGAGCAAGAAGTATTAAGGAAATTGTTTTGTAATTAAAAAGATAAAATTTATGTAGAAAAAAATAACAACTCTTTGTTAAGGAATGTTTTAAATATTACAAAATGTTTTTTTTTATCTACAAAGAGATTCGAGTTGCTTTGGGAGGATACTTGGAAGATACCGATGTCTCAGGCGTAAAAACAAATAAATGTTTTTTATCCACAAACATAAAACTTGTCCTTTCATGACATCATTTCCTTTTTTAAAATAATTTTTTTTAAAAGTTATTAAAGAATATTTTACAAAATCATTATTATTTTGGCTTAACTTTGAAATAATTTGTTTTATGTGTAAATATTGCAATTGTTTGTGGTTAATTTATGGAATATTATTTTCTTAAAAATAAATGATACAGAAATAAGTGTGTGTGTGTGTTTTTTTTTTTTTTTGTAATATTCGACTGGGCCGAATAACATTTTTTTTGAGGTATTCAACATTTGTTGTGTTTGAAAATAAGGGGAAACTTTGCCATTACCTCACTTTTGGCTAGGGGCGAAATTTTTTGGACGATGGAATATTTTGGAAAAAATTTTATGCCTGTTAACCATGATAAAATCACAATAAATTTTGTCTATGAAAAACATACATATAAGTTATTGTGAATGATAAATTCATGGTAGAATTAATGCAGAGATGGATATTATTGGTTGAAATGACTTTACCTTCTTAATTTTACCATGGGCTGGATTTTTTGTTCTAAAAAAACATAAAATGAAACAAGTAAAAAGGCAGCTAAGTTCGGCCGGGCCGAATAATACGCTCAACCATTTGGAAGAAACTTGAAAAATTGCAATAAATTCCGAAAAATGTCCTTTAAATGGAGACCTTTATACGGAGGGCTATAAGAAGGCGTGGACCTGCACACATTTTTAGGCATAGGCTGTAGTACCCATTACAATTTAGGCATAGGTTGTAGTACCCATTACAAACTTGGAATACGAAATTTGAAACAATTCCGGTGAATAATGCCACTAAAAACATCAAAATACCGAATATCGGGTGGTACCGTTATATGAGGGCTATACGAAAACGTGGACCTGCATACGAAATTTTTTGTCATAGGCTGTACTACCCATTACAAACTTCGGATACGAAATTTGAAACAATTCCGGCTAATAATGTCACTAAAATCATCAAAATACCGAATATCGGGAGGTAACGTTATATGTCGGATATACGAAAACGTGGAACTGCATACGAAAGTTTTAGACATAGCCTATACTACCCGTTACGAACTTACGAACACGAAATTTGAAACATTTCCGGTAAATAATGTCGCTAAAATCACCAAAATACCGAACATCAGGAGGCTATACGAAAACGTGGACATGCATACGAAAACTTTAGGCATAGCCTGTACTACCCCGTTACAAAGTTCGAAAACGAAACTTGAAACAATTCGAGTAAATAATGTCATTAAAATTATAAAAATGCCAAATAAAGGGAGATACCGTTATATGGTGGCTATACGAAAACGTGAACCTGCATACGAAAGTTTTAAGAATAGGCTGAAGAACACATTGCAAACTTCGAATGTGAAATTTGAAACAATTCCGGCGAATATTGTCGCTAAAAACATCAAAATACCGAATATTTGGAGGTAACGTTATATGGGGGGCTATATGAAGACGTGGGCTGACATGGCCCATTTATGAACTTAACCTGCCTACTGGCAAAATACACCTGTGTGCAAAATGTTAGACTCCTATCTCAATTTGTTCCAAAGATAGGGTGATTACAACAGACATACGGGCAGACAGACTCATAGACAGACAAACGACAGACGGACGGACAGATCGCTAAATCGTCTCAGAATTTTACGCTGACCCAGAATATATATACTTTCTAGGGTCTATCATGAATATATCGAGAAGTTACAAACGGAATGACAAAGCTAATATAACCTCCATAGAATGGTGGGGGCATGGTACAATAAAAAGGTAAGGTAGAGCTACCAGCTGATTACAATTTGTTTCTAAGTGTGCCCGACTTCTGCCAATTTTGTGTATGAATTTATTGTTGTGAAAAAAGAAAACATCTACTAAAAAGAATACATCTAATAAGTCATGCAATTGTGAATTAATAGCGTCAAAACATCAACAATAAGGTCCCTTTAATCACAAAATTGTCTTTCAATCACAATATTTCGCTTTGCTTCCAGACCTGTCATGATCGATATTATCGATAAAAATATAATTCACAATAACTTTACCAATGCCTAAGGCTAGGTTCACATGGTCCTTAATAGATTTTTTAAAGTAATCATCATGGTAGAAGAATACAGGTAGATGCATTAAAGCTTGGGAACATTGATATGTCAAAAATGTTTGTATCTGTCTCCTTATTCGACACCAATCCGAGGTTGTTATAATTTGCATTTTTTTCACAATTTTTGCAAATTTGGATAATTTTTCATTCAACAATTTCAATTCCAAAATTGATTTGAAAGTTCATTGCCCCAGCAGCTGATGCGACTACCTGTATTCTTCTACCATGTTTGTTTCCATACCTGAAATTATCGATATTATCGATAAAAATATAATTTACAATAACTTTACCAATGCCTAAGGCTTGGTTTACATGGGCCTTAGTAGATTTTTTTAGTAGTAATCATGGTAGAAGAATACAAATTGATGTATCAACGCTTGGGAAAATTGTCATTTTAATTTTTTTGTAAAAAATAAGTAGATTTTTATATTTTTTCTTATACGAAGCCAATCGGGGGTTATTATGATTTTACAAATTTCAATAATTTTTCCATGAAATTTTTCAATTCGAAAATTGCTTTGACATTTCATTGTCCCAGCAGACGTGTCGATGCAACTACCTATTCTTCTATCATGTGAATTAATAGCGTAATAGCATCAACAAAAATGTATGAGTTGGTTTCAATCACAATAGTTGGGTTTTCTTGCATGCCTGCCATAATCGATATTATCGATAAAAATATAATTGACAATAACCTTGATGATACCTAAGGCTAAGTTTACATGGGCCTAAATAGATTTTTTAAGTAGTAATCACGGTAGAAGAATACAGGTTGATGCATAAACGCTTGGGAACATTGATGTGCCAAAATTTTTAAAATGTTTCTTTTTCACAAAAATAAGTAGATTTTTATATTTTTTCTTATACGAAGCCAATCGGAGGTTATTATAATATGCATTTTTAAAAGATTTCACAAATTTCAATAATTTTTCATTGAAAATTTTCAATTCGAAAATTGGTTTGACAGTTCATTGTCCCTGTATTCGTCTACCATGCCAAAATGCATGCAATTGTGAATTAATAGCGTAATAACATCAACAAAACGCTATGAGGTTGTTTCAGTCACAATAGTTCACTTTGCTTGCATAAATACCATGATCGATATCATCGATAATAAATCGATAGAAAAAAAACAATAGTCTTGTCTATGCCTAATGCTAGGTTTACATGGGCCTCAACATATTTTTCACCTCCGATAATAACATTTCCTCATAGCCAGGCACCTTTTCAATTAAAAATCTATATTCCCCTGTTTTCCATTCTCCACTTCTTCCCTATTTCCCTAGCCAAAAAAATGTTGAATACCTTTTAGCATACCAAAATCACAGTTCGGTTATTAATTTTGTGGTGGCTAATGATGCCGGTGATTGAGAGCCTTGTCCAGCATAACAATTTCTTCGCCACTGTCATCAGGATCTATGCCAATACCCGAATGGATATCCTCTTCCTCCTCATCATCATCGGAATGGATGATACGTTTTGTGTCATCATCGTCATCATCAAAATAGGGTTTAATGGTCATACCCTCTGGAAAACGGATGGAAGAGACAATTAAAATTATACACCAAAGAAAAATATCCTCTCTTACTCTTAATGGGCGATCTAAACAGCTCCGTTTCCCCATCATCACCATCATCTTCGAAAAGTTCTTTACCCTTTTGTGGCAGCAGAGAGAAATTGTAATAAGGCTTATCGGTACGTCGGCGTCGGGCCAATAAACACTGGGTACAAAGAATGCACATAACCACAGCCGTAATGATGACCAAACTGGCCAGCAGGATAAACACAAATCTTGGCATACCCATGACATGTTCGTTACGGGTCAAACGGAAGACCACATTTTTCACCTCTTTATTCGCAGAGATGACATCAACCAGGCGCACCGTTTCCATATAACGTGGCGCCTCCACCTTCAGGGTTATCTCTCCCAAGGGGACATTTTTCAAAATATAACTACCCATGCTATCGGTGAAATTCTTTACGAAATATTTCACAATTGGCTTAATCACCGACACCTTGGCATGTTTTATGGGATGATTGGACATGTCCAGCACAAAACCTGATATCATTGTAGTGTCCAAATCATTTCCCAATCTACCCAAGGGCTGGATTTCACTGTGACCCACAATTAAGGTGTAGGGATTTAGTTTTATGATACCCAAATTGTTAATTTTTCCATGTTTCACCTCGGCCTTAACCACTTGCGATTCATAGTTGGGAGCACTCACTTCCAGGGCATAAAGACCCTCGGGCAATATCAATTGGAAGTGGGCTGCATTTCGACTAACATTATACACCGGTTGATGTTCAATTATGCGAATAAAAGCCTCCCTTAGAGGCTGATCCTCGCGATTATGTACAAAACCTGCCGCTCCCGTATCGACCAAATGCAAGAAATTCTTTAGTTTTTCAATATTTTTACGCCACACCGAAGTGATGTCCTTCTGCACGGGCATACTACAGCATGATAAGCCCAGTGTGAACATGGGTATATTATACATTTTATAGAATAAATTCGTCAGACGTTCGGTAATGTCATGGCGCAGGGTGTGGGTCGATGTGGCGGCACATTGCAGGGGAGAATAATTGAATTCGGTATTTTCAATATTGTGGGCAAATTTCTCATAGATTTGTTCGCCCTTGGGATAGCTGAAAAGAAAGGGAGAAAAGCAAATTTGAATTGAGGTTATCTTGAATTTGAGGTTATTAAAAAAAACTTACTATAATTCTGAGGAGCCTGTACTGAAGGTAAGCATTAAATCAAATCTTTGATTTTCCAAAAATGTCAGGAGAAGATCTCTTCTTTTTTCCGATTCAGGACTTAAAATGCGTTCTCCCAACTCATTGCCAATGACAGGATCACAAATGGTATTGCTGGAAAATAAATGAAAGAGAGTGAATAAAACATATTATGGCACATGTAAACATTAGCTGTTAAAGCTTTCTGTTTTAAGAAAAGAGGTTCTATCCAGTGTTTGGTTTTCCTATAGGAAATACTCTTTAACAGCTGATGGTTACTTTTTCCAAAAATTAACAGCTGATGGTTATTTTTTCCAAAAATTAACAGCTGATGGTTACTTTTCCCAAAAATTAACAGTTGATGGTTACTTTTTCCAAAAATTAACAGCTGTTAGTTACTTTTCCCAAAAATTAACAGCTGATGGTTATTTTTTCCAAAAATTAACAGCTGATGGATATTTATTCTTTAAAAAAGACATATCATTTTTTTTTGACTGGCTTAAGTCATCATCTGGGTTCTTCGGGAAAAAAGAAAGCAGCGTAGTATCAAAAAATCGAAGTAAAACAACTTAAACCCCCTTTGTTCCACTACGAATAAACCAGCTGGTGGTTTAAGCCAGTCAAAAAAGCTTTTTATGATTTTAGATTAAGATTTTTTAACGAAGCGTAGGAACAAAGCATCTTAAATAAGAAAAGTGTCTTCACCATCAACTGACGAATATCTTTCCCATGGGAACATGTTATCCTCAACAGCTGACGATATCTTTTCCCACAGAGAGTTGGCATCACCAACAACTGATAATACTTTTTCCATGGAAATATGGCATTACCATCAGCTCCTTGCCTTCTAGAATCTTCCAGTTTGATTTGCCGTTGATGTAATTGAAAATCTTCTTAGCAGCTGATTTCTTATCTTGGCAAGACAAACAGCTGACGATTCTTTTCCGTAGGAACATAGCATCATAAATAATTGACGATAAATTTTCCCAGAAAAATGTGACATAAAAACAGTTGACGATTTCTTTTCCCGTTGGAACATAGTATCACGAATAAGAAAAGTGTCTTCACCATCAACAGACGAATATTTTTTTTCTTAGGAACATGGTATCATCAACAGCTGACGATTTCTTTTACCACAAAGAATTGGCATCACCAACACCTGACAATACTTTTTCCATGGAAAAGTGGCATTGCCATCAGCTGACAAGGTGATCGTCTGAATCTTTTAGTTTGAACTGCAGTTGATTTAATTGAAAAGCTCCCTTTTAGCTGATTTCTTACCGAAAGAGAAATTTTCTCCTCATTATATGGGGCTCAGTTTGCTTTGAGACAGGTCGCATTCATTTTTTTAATTATATTTTTACAAAAAAGCCAGCACCACCAATGACTGACACTTACTTCTTTCAAGGAAAAGTGGCATGACAAAAGTCTGACGATTCTTTTCCCATAGAAAATTTTTGTCGTCAATAGCTGACTATAAATTTTCCCCGAGAAATGTGACATCATCAACAGCTGCCGATAACTTTTACCATGGGGACATGCTTTCATTTGTCTACAGCTATATCTTTCTACAAAAAAGGCCGCATTACCAATAGTTGACAATTTATTCTTCAATGGAAAAGTGTAACACCTGACGATTATTTTTCCATAAAAAATTGTCATCGCCAATAGCTGACTATATATTTTCCCAGAGAAATGTGGCATCATCATCAGCTGCCGATGACTTTTTCCATGGGAACATGGCATCACCAACAGCTGAAGATTACACCCGACAATTCTTTTCACATAAAAAATGTCACCATCAATAGCTGACGATTGCTTTTCACATGTGAACATGGTATCACCAACAGCTGAAGGTTACATTAATTTTCCCGTTCAAACATGACATCACACACAGCTGGCGATTACTTTTCTCGTGGGACCATGACAATAAATTATTCATGGTGATTATAAATTATTCATGGTAGAAGAATTCAGGTAGTCGCATCGACACAGCTGCCGGGACAATGAATTGTCAAACCAATTTTAGAATTGAAAATTTTAAATAAAAAAATATTCAAATTCGTTAAAATTTTTGAAAACACATTTTTGACATATCAATTTTGCGTTGATGCATCTACCTGTATTCTTCTACAATGAAATTATTTCTCTCGCTGAAAAGTGACATCGCCATTAGCTGACGATTACTTTACCCATTGGGAACATGGCATCCACATCAATTGATGATTTCTTTTCCCTTTGGATCATGGCTATGGGTTATATATTATTTCTCCCACTGAAAAGTGGTATCACTATCGGCTGGCGATTACTTTTCCCGTTGGGAATATGGCATCAATAGCAATTGATGATTTCTTTTCCCTTTGGAACATGGCAATAGGTTATAAATTATTTCTCCCACTGAAAAGTGGCATCACCATCAGCTGACGATTACTTTTTGCATAGAAAAATGACTTCATCACCAACTGACGATTACTTTTCCCTTTGGAACATGGTATCATACACAGCTGGCCATTACTTTTCTCGTGGGAACATGACATCAACATCAATTGACGATTACTTTTCACTTTGGAACATGGCATCATACACATTGGAACTTGGTAATAATTTATAAATTATTTCTCCCACTGAAAAGATGCATCACTATCAGCTGACGATTACTTTTCTCATAGACGATTACTTTTCGAATAGAGAAATACCTTCACCATCAACTGATGATTATTTTTTCCCATTGGGAACATGACATCAAAATCAATTGACGATTACTTTTCTCTTTGAAACATGGTATTATACACATCTGGCGATTACTTTTCCTGTGGAAACATGGCAATACGTTATAAATTATTTCTCCTACTAAAATATGGCATCATCATCAGCTGACGATTACTTTTACTCTCACCATGAACTGACGATTATTTTCCCTATGGGAACATGGCATCACCATCAGCTGACGATCATCTAGAATATTCCAGATTCCTTTCAAAACTTACTTATTATTGTATAGCTTAAAGACGGCATCGAAATTTTCCGTTATGGGCAGGAAATATAAAACACTGGTCTGCAACAGCTTCAAAATCAAGGGTTCGCGCAATTTATAACCCTCAATGACGTGACGAATTAAATTCATCGAAATTTCACGACCCAGTGGTGAGGCCGAATCGAAAAAGGAACTCATTATTAGAATTTTGTATTTACTTTCTTCGGGAGCACCGATCTGCAAAAAAGAGGTTCAATTAATATGCTTCGTGGCGGAATGATTTCGAAATGTGAAACCTTACATCAGCTGTTAGCTTTATGGAATTATAATAGAATCCAAATTCCGATTCAGCATAACCAAAGGTGGCAATTTGTCCGTTGCGGGCCTCAAATTCGGCCAGGGTGGCTCTCAGTTCGGCATTGGAATGATAACGGGTGTGGACAACATTCTCAATGATGCGATAATCATTGGCCGAGGCCCAATGTTGGGGATCGTCACGCATTAGGGTTATGTCCAAATGGATCTGGCCCTTGGCCGGCACCTCCACCAGCTCACGTTGGGGGGAGAAGCTACAAATAAGAGAAAAAGAAAAAGTTTTTTAAAAAAATGTATCGAATTAAAAAAATCCCACCCATACTTACCCATCCGCCAATATGGTAACATTGTGTACCCCTGGCAATGCCAATTTTACATAATCTCCATACACACCACTGTAGGTGGCATGCTTGGCATCATCCAACATTATGGCAGCCCCTGCAACAGGGTGACCAATTGAACTTCTTATGGAGCCCCGTATGCCATTGTGTATCTGCTCGATGAACAGCAGCAGGGGTTCTCGATTATCTTGCCAGAATTTTGGTAACTCCTCGCCCATGGGGAATTTGTCGCAACCCAATTCCAATGTCAATTCCATAACTCCAGCCTTAATGTAATTCCAATCCTGCATACCGCCGGTGACACTATACCATTGGGCGCCATTTGTGATGCCGCCAGGGAAATGTTCATTCTTGAAGAGAGGACAAGGGTTGCCCAAATGCATTGTGGGATGGGCATCGGCATACAATTTGGCCAAATGTTGGAACAAGGCATTATCTTCTGTGGGATTCAGTTTATGGGCCCCATTGGCCATGCGCAACCTTGTCATGGGATCATTGAAATCATTTTCATTGTCATCAAATGGATAATTTGCCACCAAGGAGCCACCATGCAAATTGGCCGACAACACAAAGGGTATAGACAAGGTCCAATTCATCACAGCGGCCACTTCGGGTTCCGTTATTTTGTTATACTTATCCGTTCCGTACTGATCGGGGAAATTACGATTTAAATCCACATTATGGGCATTGGCACGACCCAAAGCACTTGATTTATCACCTTCTTTGGACATCTCATAGCCATCCGGATTCATGGAGTACAGAAAATGCATGCGAGTGGTGTTGACCATTTTTGTTATGCGATTATCGAAATTATAACGTTCACAAATGTATTTCGTGAGCAGGAGCAGCATTTCCTTGCCCACCACTTCATTGCCATGCATATTGGCAACATACTTGAATTCTGGTACTCCGGGCACATGTTGTCCCGGAGTGGCAAAAATTTCCATAACCCATAGATCACGATTTTGGACGGATTTACCAATGGAATACAGTCTTGTTATGGACGGATATGAATCGGCTATGTCACGTAGGAATCTGCAGAAGGAAAGTGAGATATATTAATGGGACAAATAGAATGGGTAAAACGCTTGATTGGCAACACTGACCATTCACAATGACTACGAAATGAAATTACAAATTTAAGGTAACTATCAAATTTTTATCATTTCTCTGGTATTTTTGAGGCTATACCAACAAAATTTGATATGAAATGAAAGAGGAGATTCCACTCTATACAATTCTTTTTGTTTTATTAAGAAAGAAATAATATTTTTAAAGTTATGGGCTCAAGAAATGATAACAGAAAAAATCCTATAAAAATTACATTGGAATCCCTAGTATACTTTTCCAGATATCTCTGGTAGTTGGTCGGCTACAAGTACAAAATGGGAAATAGAACTTCAGAGGGGATGTCCCCTTTTTAATCTAGGTGGATATTACAAAGTTAAACATATTACATTAATTATTATTAACCCAAGAAAAAGATTACAAAAGAAATCGAAAAATTATTTATTTTTGGGCATTGGATAATTTTTTACTATAACTCTGGTATTTGGCCAGCTATGTTCTAAAAATTTTACATTGATCTAAAGAGGTCTTCCTTTCTTATAGTGAAAGATTATACTCAAATTGTCCCATTACGAAAGAAGTTATGGCCTCTAGAAAACAATTACCGAAAAAAAATTGCTAATTTTCAATTTTGTCATTGATGTATAATTGGCCAGATATCTCCGGTATTTGTGCAGCTATATCAACCAAATTTGACAATTTTTAAGAAAATAGGTCTCTCTCCATTATAATTCATTTATTTTATGAGAAAAAACAATTGTGGTAAAAGTTATGGGCTCTCGAATATAGCTTCTGAGAAAAACCGAAAAAATGTAAATTTTCAGTAATTGTTAACATTGTAGAATATCTCTCGTATTTTCTTAGCTATGACGACTTTTACAACACCAAATTAAAGAGGAGATGAGATTCTTTCCGAAAATGTCAAATGCAATTGAGATAAAACCATAATATCTAATGTTATGGCCTCAAGAAACCTATTACTGAGAAAAATCAAGAAATTATAATTTTACGGCACTGGTATTATTTTTACAATAACTTGAGTATTCTTACGGTTACCTTAATGATATTTGGTCTTATTCTAAGGAGAAGACTTCCCTTGTTCTACATCATTTCAATTTGTCCGGCTAGATCTATTATTTCCAGAGTTACGACCTCTAGATGATGATTGCACAAAAAAAAACCTAAACAAATAACATTTAAGACACCTGCTGAATTTTTGTCATATCTCAGGTATTTGGTAAGATAAATTAACAAAAATTGACATCAACTTAAAGTGGACCATGCTTTTTAAGATATTAATTAGTTTTTTTGGGTTAAGTCTATTATTTTAAAACTTAGAACCTGTAGATTGTGATTACTAAAAAATCTTAAAAATTTTCAAAGCCAAGGTATTTTTAAATTTGGACATAACTCGAATATTTGACCAGGTAGATCAACAAAGTTGCAGAGCTATTAAAAGTGGAGATTTTGCCTTTTTAAAATCGGGAAATATTTTAAAAATAAACTCTCCATTGCCAAAGTTATGACCCCTAAAAACTGTTGACTAAAAAAATGCAAAAAATTGTAAGTTTAAAGCACATCCTTATTTCATACAATATCTCTGGTATTTGATGATCTACATACTCTAAATTTATCATTAACTGAAGGAAAATATATCATTCTTTCAATATTACTTTATTTTGTAAGGATATCTTCATTACTTCATAAGTTATGCATTCAGTAGAACGATTACGGAAAAAATTCGAAAGACTTTTCATTTTTGTGCTCTTGTAAATTTTGCAGATATCTCGGGTATTTGGTAAGTTACATCAATTCAATTTCGGCTTCATTTAAACAGGAGATGTCCCTTATTTAGAATCAATTTAATTTGTTGCAATAACCCCATTACTTCTAAAGTTATGACCCTTCAAAAATTTGTTCTCGAAAAATCTTAAAACTTTTTAATTGTTGTTAATTTTTCATTTGTTACGATATCTCTGGTATTTATTTTGCTACATCAACATAAGTTGTCCTCAAATTAGAGACAACATGCTCTTCTCTTAAAATAATTTTTTTGACCAAGTTTAACATATTTCTTGCAAAAATATGGCCACTTGAATGTTGTTACTTAACTTAACCTCAAAACCTTTGAACTTGACATACCTATTCTTTTTTTTACAATATCTCTGAGATTTGTTTAGTTATATGTGACATATTTGACATTAATTGAGAGAAAACATTATCTTCTTCCAAAATCAGAAAATTTAATTCATGGAGATCGAATAAATTTAAAAGTTATGACCTCTATAAAAATACCTCCCAGTATTTTAAACAAATTGCAATAATTTCTAAAGGCAAACTTGTTGTGTGGCCAGTTACCTTGATAAAGAGAAAATTTCCCCACCGTGTGAGTACAGCTAATTATTACAAATTGCCTTAAGGTGGCCTAGCCACACATCAAATTGTGATTGCTTCATAATAACTTATTTTAAAGTAGTGTTCATACTAACTTTTCCATGGCAGTAAAATTGTGATGTTCAAATTTGGTTGGCGTTAAAAAGCCGCCATTTTTCTCAATATTTTCCGCATTATCGGCACGAATAACTTTCAGCTTGCGAAAATCACCTAAAATGATGACAGAAAAAGAAAATAAAAAAATCGATGATGATTGATGATAGAAAGGAAAATTAAAACGTAAAAGAAAATAGCTTTGATTCCTTGGTTTTTGCCCCTCAACTCCAACCACAGTTTTAGTCTTTCGAACCCATAACATAAAATAGATATAGAAACAGGTGAGAGCAGATAATAGTGAGTGCATATGCAGTGCATTGAACATAAAATAGATGAAATGAGTGATGGATGCAATAAAAAACTTATAAATAAGTATATGAACACCTTCCTCTATTCCGTCCATAAAACACAGTTTAGACTAGGCTTACTTTGCAGTTTTTTTTTGCTAAATAAATTTTATTTATTAGCTTTATTTAGATTTAGTATACATTTACATCAAATCGTTTTAGAGAATAAAATATTAAAATTATTTACGTTTACATTTAGGCATATACATATATATGTAGGTATGTGATATATCTTGTTAGTTTAGACTACAATTTCATAAAATAGTTTTGGGATAAAATTATGTAAATATATTTCTTTATATTTTCTCTGTTCTATAAATGATATTAAGTATTTAAAATTTCATAGGATTAAATAACAAGATTTTAAATCTATAGATTAAAAAAAATCATTAAATATTATTTATTGTGAATATGTAAATATGTTTTTTTTTTAAATGTGTTAAAAAAATTACGAAAAAAATAAATAAAAATATCTTGATACAATAATGAAAATTTGTATAAATTAAAGCTATAATCTTCTATTTTCAAAATTATTTTAAATCATAAAAATACTTTAATTATTTCAAAAGTTATGGCCTCTGTAACATGTTACGAAAAATATGGCAAAATTTGACAATTTTGGGTAATTGTGATTTTTTGGCGGTAATTCAGACATTTCACCAGCTACATCCACATAATTGCACCGGCTCAAAGCGAAGACTTTAGTCCTTCGATAAAAATTAAGTTCACTAAAATACAACGATTCCTTCAAAAGATATGGCCAGCAGAAATCGATGACGGAATATATAGCAAAAATTTGAAAGTTTTGAGTAACGTACATTTTTGGCGATATCTCGTTTAGTTAGTCAGCAACTTCAACAAGTTTTTGTGAGTCAATTGATCAAGTATTGCTCTTTGAAGAATGTACTTACTTATACAGTTGCGCCGCATACTTTTAAAGTTACAGGCTTTGGAATGTGATTACTAAAAATATTACCAAACATTTTAATTTTGGGTTATTTCATACTTTATGCAATATCTCTGGAATTTATTGAGATATGTCAGCTTAAATTTGCGTTTAAAAAAAGATCAGGATGTGTTCTTTCCTATTTATTTTATTTTACGGCGCTACGCCGTTAATCTAAAAAGTTATGGGCTCTGGAGCGTGATTACGTAAAATATCCCAAAATATGAACATTTTAGGTTATGTTGTATTTTGTGTAGTATCTTAGCAATTTCATTAAACACATAAATAAAACTTTATCCTCTTGAAGATTAGACCTCTCCCTTTTAAATGCATATTATTTTAAGGGGATATTCCCATTTTTCGTAAAGTTACGGCCCCTAGAACATAATTACAAAAAATATGATCAACTTGGTAAAACTCAGAGATTTATATAAATTTTCCCATATCTCTCATAATTCGAGAGCTACATCAACAAAACTTAGTGAATTGAATGATTGTACTTTGCTCAATTATAAAAACGTAATTTTTAGGTTATACGCCGATCACAAAAGAAGTTATGGCCTGTGGAATGTGATTGCGGAAAACAATGCAAAAAATTGGCAATTGTGTGTCATTTGGTATTTTTTCCATATCTCCATAAGTTATTGGACTATATCAATATAACTTTGTAAATTTAAGGACTAGGCGATGTCCTTCCATATGCAATTTGTTTAAAGACGATATCCCGAATACTTTATAAGTTATTGCCTTTGGAAGAATGGTACTGAAAAAAAATTTTTAAATTATTTTTTTAAGCATTTTGTAAGTTGCTCAAATAAATCGAATGTTTGTCGAACTATATAAACAAAAGATTGAGATTTGGGAGATCATCATTCTTTCTTAGATTCAATTTGTTTTATTTCAACATATTACGCCGACTAATTGCAAAGTTATGGCCTCTGGAATGTGATTACCAAAATAAACCCCTAAGAGCGGGAAATTTGGGTAATATTGTATACTGTTCGATATCTACAAAATTTTATTATTTACTTTAACTAAACTTTATCAATATTAAGACAATATATTGTTCCTGACAAAATATGCAATTTTATATCTATACGCCGTCTATTTAAAAAGATATGGCCTCTGGAATTTAACAGCAGAACAAATTACTAAACACCGAAAAACTCTGACACTTGCGTTTATTTCCCAATATCTCTCGTAGTAGATTGGCTACACCAACGAACCTTCACAGGATCGTATATTAGTCAGTGCTCTTTCTAAAATAAGTGAATTTATTTTAAAACGGCTATTATTTAAAAAGTTATGCCCTCTGGAGTATCGATGCGGAAAGAAGAGCTATGTGCTGTAAAATGCTAACGCTTGTTTAGGTTGTCCCATATCTCTGGTAGTTAATTAGCTACAGTAACAAATCTTTGCTAGTTTGAAGCTAAGTCTTTGCTCTTTCAAAAGCATGTCGTTTCATTTTAATACGCCGATTTTTGAAAAAGTCATGGGCTCTGGAATGTTTGTGCAGATAAAATACTGTAGAATGAAAATTTCTGACGCTTGTTTTTATTTTCCAATATCTCCGGTAGTTAATTAGCTATACCAATGAATCTTTGCAAGTTTGAAGCTCAGTCTTTGCTCTTTCAGAAGCATGCCTTTTCATTTTGAGACCCCGATTTCTGAAATAGTTATGGCCTCTGGAATGTGTATGCAGATAAAATGCTCTACAGTGAAAAATTCTGACACTTCTTTTCATGTTCCAATATTTCTGGCATTTAATTAGCTACACTAATGAAACTTTGCAGGTTTGAAGATCAGTTGCCGCTCTTTCAATAGATTGTATTTTTATTTTAAGACGCCGTTACATAAAATAGTTATGGCCTCTGGAATATGAATGCAGATAAAATGCTCAATAGTGAAAAATTCTGAAGCTTGATTTCATTTTCCAATATCTCAGATAGTTAATTAGCTACACTAATGAAACTTTGCAGGTTTGAAGATCAGTCAATGTTCTTTAAAAAAATAAGATATTTTGTTTAAAATTGGCGATTATTTAAAAAGTTATGGCATCTGGAGTGTGAATGCAGAAAAAATATCTCACATAGCAAAATTCGAATACCTGTTGAGATTTTCCTCTATATCTCTAGAAGTTGATTAGTGACATCTACCAAAATTTGTGAATTTGCTAAAGAGTCGTTGTTTTTTCCGAAAAGTGTATTTTAAATTTTCAACGCCGTTAACTATAAATGTTGTGGCCTCTGGAATGTGTTAACGCAAAAACTACTCAATCTTGCATAATTTTGGCACATGTGTAGATATGGCGATATCTCTGGTATTTGGTTAGCTACAAAGATGAAACTTGGTGAGATGTTGGAACACTTTTTTCTCTTTCCTAAGCAATTTTTTCTTGTCAATACAATAATTATTTCAAAAGTTATGGCCACGAGTATAGCTTTACAAAAAAGAAATCTAAAATTATTGAAAATTTGATGGTTGCATTATTTTTTAGATGTCTCTGAAATTTTTCTAGATATATTTACTAAACTTTGGAAAATGGAAGATGAAATGTTGGCCTTTAAAAATTAATTTATTTTATATTGATATTATATTTTTTTTTCCAAAAATTGTTGTCTTCGAAAAACAAATCCCAAAAATTTCTAAAAAATAAAATTGAAAAAATTGTGCAATTTTTTTTTAAATTCTGATTTAACACATTCCATATTCAACAATACTTGGCACCACTTTAACCTCATAAATTAAATTACATATTTTCGATGCAATATTTTAATCAATGTGCAACAGCTGTTATAATTGACAACAAGTGCAAAAACAGGCGCATACACACATGAAACTGCTGGAATAAATGCTTTTCCATTATCATCATCATTAACAAAACAAACATCAACCCCAACACTGGCATGCATCGTCGTCGTCGTCCTCTGCGAGTGATTGACATTTGCAGTGTATGCCAGCCAGCCAGCTAGCACCAGCAGACAGACAGACAGACCCACAACCAGCCACCACCAGTATGTACTTATTCCACAACAGAATTGCCTAATTCACTGCTTCACATTGGAATTAAACCTGATTCGGAATTAAATGGCTATGTGAAGGCATCTGGTTTTTGGTTTAATTTCGATTTTTGGACAAATCAAAGTAGGTCAACTTTCATGGGATGTTTGGTGCATTTGTAGAAGGGGATTGACTTATGAATGTCGTTTTAATGCTTCATTTAAGGCGGTTGTCCAAAAATAGAGTGGTTTGCAGCTCACGGGTTTGATCTCTCTCTCTCTCTCTGTTTTTGGAGTATGACAAGGTAATCAGTTCCTTGATGCAGTAAAAATATGTAGGAGAGATTGATTGCAAGAGAGAGAGAGAGAGAGAGACGAAATGCAACATAACCGTTATGGGCTTTCATAAACAAAGTCATACTCCGTTTACATTCCCTTTGACAAGTAAAGCTATTGGGCCACATGTTGATTTGCTTCCTTTGTTAGATAATTACGTGATTTTTTTTTTATTAAATTCAGTTTCTTATTGGGAAACTTGAGGAAGGAATATTTTCATGTTTACTATTGCCATGTTTAGACAGCAAATTATTAAGTATTTAATTTCTCATGAACTTTTCCTATATTTTCGGTATTTGTCCATATGATTTGCCACATTTTTTTGAGAATCAGAAGTAGGGATTGTGAAACTAATCATTTCAATATGAAAATCTCATTTATTTAATTAGAAAAAATTTTAAGCGAAAAATGAGCTGCATAAAAACACATTTGAGCATTTATATACAAATACCGATATCTCAAAGATTTCATGAGTTATATCAAGAA